TAGACTTTGTTTTTCTTTGAAGATGTTTCACTTCTCATCCAAGAAGCTGAAGAAGCTTCTCGGATGAGAAGCGAAATGTCTTCAAGGAAAAACAAGAAAGTCTTGAAAAAGGACCTTTGGGACAACCATGACCTGGATGATGGAGAATCTCCACAGACATGAACAACAGATATTCCTTTTTAATAATAATAAGTTACAATTGAAAAGATGGGGAGGAAGGGAGCATGATGAGCATACCCTGTGTGTGTGTGTGTGTGTGTGTGTGTGTGTGTGTGTGTGTGTGTGTGTGTGTGTAGATGGAGTCTTCTCTTAATCCATCCACTCCTTCCAATCCAATACCTCGATTGGGGCCCCAAACCAACTGGCAGAGTCAGGGGGAGGAACAGGGTTCTCCAAATTTGGCTCTAGAACTGAAAGTGCACTTTTGTCCTTCCAGTTACATCCATCTATCCATCAAGAGAAGGAATAAAAAGAATTTTCTCAACAGGAATAGAATGTGAGGACTGGAAATGTGGAAACAGCTGTGCTCTCTTGTCTGTCTTGAGTGGGATGCTCCCCAGAATGGGAGAGTTAGACAGACTTGGGAGGGGAAAGAGAGAGAGAGAGAGAGAGAGAAGAGAGACTGTCGCAAGCAAGTGGTTCAATCAGCAAGTTAGCAGGTGCCACAATGCCTATTTTAAAAGCATCCCTTCTCATGATGCCACTATCTGCTCTCTCTGGATTTATGCAAGCCATTTTTTCCCCCTATTTGCAGCCCTCAAAGATGGCACAGAGAAAATAGGGCACGACTCGCATCAGTCACCCTAAACCGATTTTTTTAATGATTTTTTTTAAAAATAAAATCGTAAGATTTAAGAATTTAAGAAAATGTGTAAGGCCGCCCAACTCACTCACAGGGACTCCACGCCCCAAATTCCTGTTGCTAAGCGAGACAGTTGTTAAGTGAGTTGTGCCTCATTTTACGACCTTTCTCGCCACACTTGTTAAGTGAATCACTGAAGTTGTTAAATGAGTCACATGCTTCTTAAGTGAATCTGGCTTCCTTATTGACTTGGCTTGTCAGAAGGTCGCAAAAGGGGATCACGTGACCCCGGGACGCTGCGACCGTCATAAATATGAGTCAGTTGCCAAGCATCTGAATTTTGATCACGTGACCACAAGGATGCTGCAACGGTCGTAAAAGTGAAAAACAGTCGTAAGTCACTTTTTCCAGTGCCGTTTTAACTTTGAGCAGTCACTAAACAAACGGTTGTTAAGTCGAGGACTACCTTTATAGCGATTTGGACCAGGCATCTTCCCTGTACCACAAATTGTTAAGTAAATTGATTTGCAATTTGAGATTTCAGGCAAAGGAAGATATAACTGGGAAAGAACATGGTTTATACACTCCTGCTTTCTGCATTAGCAACCATATCTACCTTAGGATTGCTAGGGAATACGGTCAAGTTAGCCAAGGGCAGACAGTTTTTCAGACCCAGAAGTTAATCCCACTCTCTTCTAGAACTGATAATCTTACCTAGTTTGGGTAATGAAACATCTTCAAGAAAACAACCAAGTTCAGAGAGCACCCAGAACCCCCTCATTCAATATGTACAACCAGACTTGCAAGTTTTACCCTTCCTGTTAAGTTGATTTCCTGGGCTACTAAGTGAGGCTGACACTAACACAGTGTTTCTCAACCTTGACAATTTTAAGGCATGTGGACTTCAACTCCCAGAATTCCACAGCCAGCAATGCTGGCTGTGGAATTCTGAGAGTTGAAGTCCACATGCCTTAAAATTGTCAAAGTTGAGAAACACTGCATACTAACAGGAGACAGCGGAGGTAAAATGGGATTAGAAATAATTATCTGCTTTATCAAAGAAATGTTGTGCAGCAGAAACCTGAGAATGAGGGTGGAGAATTAAGTGAATGCAAGAGGAATAAAGGGGTAGTTAAGGAAGAAAAATCTGATTACAGTAGCCATAGAGAGCAAATGAAAACTAAGGCAGATTCTTGGAATGAACATTACACAAATTAGCTTTGATCTATATCCCACAGCCACCTAGTAACATGAGGAGTCTTCCAGTCGCTCCTGGGCTAGTATTTACCAACAATCAAGAAGGAAACAATACCCTAACCAAGGAACTACCAATTCAGACAAATAAGCTAACAGTAAGTAATAGCCCAGTGGTGGCGAACCTATGGCACGGGTGCCAGAGGCGGCACTCGGAGCCCTCTCTGTGGGCACACGTGCCGTTGCCCCAGCCTTGCCTCCCCCCGCGACCCCCTCCTCTCCAGCAGCCCCCCTAAAGGAGAGTCGCCCTTGAGCATGGCCCACATGGAGCAGCACAGCCAAGGACATGGCAGCCAGGCAGCGTAGACAAGACTCTGCCCTCACGCCCCATCATGCAGTTGATGCTGCAGGGCGTGGGCAGAGGGTGTGGCCGCCATAGCGCTGCTGGGCTGCCTGGGCGATCTGTGGCGGGCCCTGGAGGCGGTGAGTGGTCCTGTGGGGGGGATGGGGGGGCAGAGTGGGGGCGGGCAGGAGGGGTGGAGCGGGGGTGGGGCCAGTTTTTGGGCACTCGGTCTCTAAAAGGTTCGCCATCACTGTAATAGCCTAATCAAGGAACCACCAAGAACACTCCCACCAACACTGACAGGGCAAGCCACTTGTAGATAAACAGAGAGGAAACTCCACTCCCTTCTAGCAGTGATGATGTTACCTAGTTGGGTACTGAAATGTCTGCAAGAAAACAGCCAAGCTCAGAGCACCAAGGACCCCACAGCTCAACTCTGAGCTACAAAGATTCTCTTCTATCTACACTGAATGATAACACCTATGGAGCTATGGCCAAAATGACTCACACAGAATCCTGAAGTTTGATTGGTTATATGCCATCAAGTTGGTGTCGACCCTTAGGGACCATAGCGACAGACCAACCTAGCCCTTTAGAACACATCTTCAAATCGTCTACAGCCCTAAACCTGGAGGATTTAATATTCCCCAGCGTAAGCTGAGTATATAAGAAAATTAACCATCATGATATTGAAAAGCCTTCTCTGACAATCAGATAATACAAAAATAAATAAATCCCCAAAGGCACAAAATACATAGGGTTATAATTGACCCATGATACTTAAAGCAACAAGCTTGCATGAGATCACATATTTGACTTGACAGAAATATCCCGTCAAAAATACCAGGTATAGAACTAACCGGTCAATCAAATGTAAGTTTTGCCAGTCACACAGTGCTCCCTAAAGCCAAGACACAGTGTTCCAATATCTCAGGGGCTGCCACAAAGAAGAGGGAGTCAAGCTATTCTCCAAAGCGCCCGAGAGCAGGACAAGAAGCAACGGGTGGAAACTAACCAAGGAGAGAAGCAACCTGGAACTAAGGAGAAACTTCCTGACAGTCAGAACAGTTAATCAGTGGAACCACCTGCCTCCAGAAGCGGTGAATGCTCCAACACTGGAGGTTTTTAAGAAGAGACTGGACAGCCATTCGTCTGAAATGGTGTAGGGTTTCCTGCCTGAGCAGGGGGTTAGACTCGATGACCTCCAAGGTCCCTTCCAACTTTATTATTATTATTATTATTATTATTATTATTATTATTATTATTATTATTAATAATAATAATAATAATAATAATAATAATAATAATAATAATAATAATAATAATAATAATAATAATAATAATAATAATAATAAAGGATCAATTCATATTCTCTGTGTTGTGCCAGTAAAGAAAACCCAGGACAAAACTGACACAGTGAAGCAACAATCCACTGTGGTTACCCTCTCCAGAATCGCTAAACAGGCTGCACACCGGGGTAGGAACATATTGGATTTTTAATCAACTTTTAAATAAGGAAAGGCCTATTTAAATATATTTTTTTAATCTGTTTTAATTTTGTATATTGTATCAATTGTTCTGTTTTAATTGGCTGTAAGCCGCCCTGAGTCCACCAGGAGAAGGGCGGGATATAAATGCAATAAACTTAAACTTAAACTTAAAGGACAATGGAAGAGAATGGGGCTTCCCTATGGAAGCTACTCTGTGCAAATGCGGAGAAGAACAATGCATCTCATATATATAATGTCCTTCAATATTTACTGGTGAAAAAAAATGCTGTTGCCCGATACTCAGCAAATGTTATTTAGTTTTAATCCTATTCATTCTACACACTTTCTATATGGGCTATATTTCTGTGACGGGGGCGCGATAGCTCAGTGGTTAAAGATGCTGAGCTTGTCAGCTGACAACCCAGGTTTGAGACCCGAGCTCTGAGCAATGGGCTGAGCTCCCGTCACTTGCTCCAGCTCCTGCTTATCTAGCAGTTCGAAAACATGCAAACGCCAAGTAGATTAACAGGTACCATTTCAGTGGGCAAATAACAGCGTTCCATGTGCCTCAGCCTATAATCATGCTGGCTATATGACCAATGGAAAATGTTTTCGGACAATGCTCGGCCAAGAAAAGGAGATGAGCACCATGCCCTAGAGTTGGACACGACCAGCAGGGAAACCTTATGCCTTTTTATATGTCTATGACCTGTTTTATATCTATTTTATTTGCTCTGTGTTGAATGTTCTATGTCTATCATTTGTAAGTGATTCTGACACGAATGAAGAAAGACCTTCTCCAGAGATCTGAACTCACTGGTTTGACAAACATTTGAGCCCACCTGTAACCTGCACACAGGGCAGTTAAGTCTAATGAATATTTCAAATTCAGCCCTGTTGCCAGTTGGCAGGCAAATGTGGATGATGAATTATTTTTACGTACAAGAAGGCAAGGGGATCTGTTTTGTCCCTGAGCTACTCAACTCTGAACGGTGCCCAGCGCCATCAAAAGACGGGAAACTGCTTTGGCCCTGTGGAGACAAACCTCAATATATCCTTCGTGAAATCTTTCTTCACTTGGCATTGTTTTAAAACCCCGATTTCTGTACTGGGTAGATTGGGGGGGGGGGGCAGGGGAGGCAGGAGATGGGAGGGTGGGAAGCGAAATTACCTCTGCAACTTTTGGAGGAACTCCATCTCCGAGAACTTCCCGAATGAAGCATTGTTGGCTCATGTAACACGAGAGTCCGCAGGTCCTCTTGAAGGCATCTTTCAGCCGTTTTAGCTCTACATCCGTCACTATATGGAACAGAAGAAAAGAGGGAGGGAGAGGAATTAGGCACATTTATTTTGAATAAGGACTCGGTTCTGTTCCAGCCTACGTAGGTCCTTGTTACTTCACAAAGACAACCCCTCTTTTAACAGTAGACTGGAAAATAAACTCTTTTTATTTGAGTTACAGACCTGATAATTGTCCCAGAAAACAAAAGCAACAGAATACTTTTCCAACGGAGACCTTGTCCAAAAGCAAAACAGAGCACGAGTCAAATAGGAAATAACTCACAGGTAAAATAGACAGATCATGATCTCTTGACACTGAAGTTCTTTGCAAACTGTTGCCTCCAGCAACCAGCCCTGCCCACACATTCCCTTTTTGTTACGCAGCCCCCAAGGCATGGCTTCTCACTGCTTTCTCCTCCTCCCCTGGAGTCGCACCATTGCCTCCCTCTGTCCTACTCGTGTGACCTGTCTATGTTTACGAGCGTCTCTGAGGTCTTCCAGCTGTGCTTCCTCCGAGTCAGACTCAGCTTCCCAGCACAGCTGGCTCTCAGCTTGATCACAAGTGGAAGGACCAGCCTCTTCATTAGTTTGTAAGTCCTGCAGCTCATCAGAGCCTCCCTCCGACTCTGATGGCTCTCCAGGCCCCTCCTCCTCCTCTTCTGATTCCCAGACTCAACTACCGGGATCACAGGATGGCACAGAATCACAACAGACTCTTTGCACTCCTTAGCTATTCCAAAGGAGATAAAAAGAGTGAGATTAAGACACCCACAGACCACTTGCCTCAGGGGCTGCCACAAAGAAGAGGGAGTCAAGCTATTCTCCAAAGCATTTCCTGAAGGCAGGACAAGAAGCAATGGAGGGAAACTAATCAAGGAGAGAAGCAACCTAGAACTAAGGAGAAACTTCCTGACAGTTAGAACAATTAACCAGTGGAACAACCTGCCTCCAGAAACGGTGAATGCTCCAACAATGGAGGTTTTTAAGAAGAGATTGGACAGCCATTTGTCCGAAATGGTATAGGGTTTCCTGCCTGAGCAGGGGGTTGGACTAGATGACCTCCAAGGTCCCTTCCAACTTTACTTACTATTACTATTACAAGGTAAACTCAACCACTTGTCCATCTTAGAGACCGTACTCTACCTATGAGGTGACCACCTCTGAATGTACTGCAGGGTCTTCTTCAAAAGTCTAAATGAACAGATGCAAGAATAAGGTACAGTAGTCCTTGACTTACAATGATTCATCTAGCAACCATTCAAAGTTACTACAGCATTGAAAAAAAGTTATATATGATCGGTCCTTGCACTGTTCTCCATCGTCACAGGATGAAAATTTGGGTGCTTGGCAAACCGGCATTTATTTATGACAGTTGCAGCATCCTGGGGTCATGTGATCACCATTTGCGACTTTCCCAGCTAGCTTCCAACCAGCAAACTCAATGGGGGAAATCAGATTTGCTTAATGACTTCATGATTCATTTAACAACTGCAGTGATTTGCTTAACCACCATGGCAAAAAGGTCATGAAATCAGATGGGACTCACTTAACAACTGACTTGCCTAGCAACAGAAATTCTGGTCCCAACTGTGGTCATAAGTTGAGAAGTGTTTATTTATTCCCAGCAGAAATTTTCACTTCCAATCCAATATGCATTTTCATACGATGTGCCTAACTGGCAGCACCTAAAGAATTTCTCCTTCTGGAATTTCTCCTTCTGTGGCAACTCAGCATTTCAAAAACTGCCTCAGTTCAGAATTTTGAACAGAGTAGATGGACAGAGGAATAAAATGGGATTTAAAAAACACACCAGAATACTCATTTTTTCATTTTCATGGCTAAAATATTTACTGTGTTACTCTCAGCTCTATAGGGACTTTGCTCATTTGCGCTATGACAGTGATGGCGAACCTTTTAGAGACCGAGTGCCCAAACTGCAACCCAAAACCCACTTATGTATCGTCGGGTGCCGGGTGGGTGTGGCCCATTGGGTGGGTGTGGCTGTTGTGGTAACGGCAGACTAGGTGGGACTAAAAAGTTCAATCAATCAATTCCAACTTTGGAAGATCTTTTTTTTGCCCACGAGAAGTTGAAATTGATTGGTTGAACCTTTTTTTTTTTTTTTTTTGCACACGGCGCTGTAGGCCTAAAGCGAAAAGGTTTTATAAAACCCAGCTGAAAGTCTAGGACTGGGGCGATGGCACGTGTGCCCACAGAGAGGGCTCTGAGTGCTGCTTCTGGCACCCGTGCCATAGGTTCGCCACCACTGCACTATGATTTGAATCTGGAACAGAGGAATTCTCAACTGTGAGAAGAAAGGAATGCTTCTAGATCCCCATTTTTCCTCAGTGCTCAACACTAATGCCCCAAACAAACACCTCCTGGGCTGCCAATGCTGTTATTATCCTTGCTCATCCACCAAAGGAAAAGGAGTTGTAACTGCAACAAGTTGTATCAGCTGCAAATCAAATCAACCTTTACTGTCAAAGTACATGTGTACAATGAGATTGGCTAAGCACAAAAGCATAGTGGGAATCAAGTTGATGGGGAGGAGAAAGGAAAATCAAAAAAAGGGAGAACCATCAGCTGAGGCCAGGTGGGTTTCATATGCCCCGTGGTTGATCCTTAGCAAGAAACTGTGAAATACTATGCCAGGGGTCTTCAAACTTGACCCTTTTATGACTTGTGGACTTCAACTCCCAAAATTCCTCAGCCAGCATGTCTGGCTGAGGAATTCTGGGAGTTGAAGTCCACAAGTCATAAAAGGGCCAAGTTTGAAGACCCCTGTACTATGCTAATACCTAATTTATATGCCACCTAGAGTCGCTAATGGTTGAGATGGGTGGCATATAAATGTAATAATTTTTTTAAAAAATGATACAAGTGGAGGTCTTGACAAACCACAGCCAATCAAAGATGGAGTCTTTGCCACACATCAGGGCAATCAGGTTCTCCTACGAAATCTCCAAATGCCTTTGCTCAACAATAGGGGACTTATATTAACGTATTGGGAGATTTACATTGGCTTATGAATCTGAATCAAAAAGTCAATCAGTGAATTAATTTCAAGAGGGTTTTGTCTCTCTCAAAATGAGCCCACCTGGTAATTAAGACTCTCAACTAAAGTTCTTTGGATGCTTTCCCTCCCGAAAATAAAGAGTATGGGTTACTTTAAGGAGAGGTTTTACAAACCCGGAATCTTTCCCTAATTTTTTTTGCAGGGAATCAATGCGTTACAAGTAGACCCTGACTTACAACCGTCTGAAGTTACAATGGCACGGAAAAAAAATGACTTGTAACCAGTCCTTACATCCCCACAGGTCACGTGATCAAAATTTGGTGCACTTGGAGCATTTTATCATTCATCTATTCATTCAACAAAAGCATATGGCAACCCAACTCACATATTTACAATGGTTGCAATGCCTCAGGACTCAGGGGTAGGCAACCTTGGCTCTTTTATGACTCGTGGACTTCAACTCCCAGAATTCCTGAGCCAGCCATGCTGAGGTGAAAGGGAGAGGTTTCCAAGCTGAGCCATGCTGGCTCAGGAATTCTGGGAGTTGAAGTTCACGAGTCATAAAAGAGCCAAGGTTGCCTACCTCTGCCCCAGGTTAATACGATTGCCATTTTCAACCTTCCCATTTGGCTTCTGACAAGCAAAATCAATGGGGAAAGTTGGAAATGGCTTAATGACTGCACGGTTCACTTCACAACTACAGCGATTCCCTTAACAACCGTGACACAAAAAGGTCGTAAAATGGAGCGCCGCTCACTTAACAGCTACCTTGCTCAGCCACAAAAATATTGGCCTCAGTTTTGGTTGCGAGTCAAGGACTACCCGTAATAATACTGAAATTGATTTGATTAAAATTAAATCTAGTCCAACCCCCTGCTCAGGCAGGAATCCCTATACCATTTCAGACAAATGGCTGTCCAGTCTCTTCTTAAAAACTTCGTGTTGGAGCATTCACTGCTTCTGGAGGCAGGTTGTTCCACTGGTTAATTGTTCTCACTGTCAGGAAGTTTCTCCTTAGTTCTAGGTTGCTTCTCTCCTTGATTAGTTTCCACCCGTTGCTTCTTGTCCTGCCTTCAGGCGCTTTGGAGAATAGCTTGACTCCCTCTTCTTTGTGGCAGCCCCTGAGATATTGGAACACTGCTATCATGTCCCCCC